TTATATTTTTAAATAAAAAAATATAAATAAAATTTTTTATATATATAATATAAAAATGATTAGTATTCTAACTATTCTATCTCTGTCTTTTTAATTTAAATCGTTTTCTAATAATAATATCATTATTAACACTCTATTAATATTATTAAGTTCAAGCGATCACGATTATTTAGGTTATATTTGACTTAGGTTACTTAATTTTAGAATACTTAATTACAGTACGTACAATATATCATTCACGATGTACTACTATATGATCTTTATATCATAAAAAAAATAGAATACAAATTAAAATAAAGTATTCTAAAATTAAATAATATTCTAGAATTCCTTTTTTAAAAAAGGAATAATCATACAAAAATTTATTCGCTACACTTCACATTGTAGCAACGAGAACGACCTCTATATAATAAGATATATTGGACTCACCAAAAAGATGCTAATATAACACGTAATAAAAGTTTACTTCAGTCAAATAATATCAGATTAACCCTCAGGCGATTATTCATCATTCATCGTTCAAACATACACTTTAAAAACTATAAACAAACAACAATTTCGTTTCTCGTTTACTTTCAAGCAATCTCAAGGTTTCGAGCTTTACCACGCTACGTATTCGCGCGATGTTGCGCAGCGTCCTCTATAAGAAACGCGTAATTAGCCGGATTCAAAGACGAAGCGCGTCTCGAATGCGCAGATACGGTTCGCGTAAGGGTTAATCATCATAATAAAATCATGAGGTTTATCTCTCACGCGACAGCTTCTCTTTCCTCTCGGCGTCACCAAAGTAAATATAATCTATCGATCGATCAGCCTGGTTCACGGATCATGGATGCACACGAGGCGCGTCCAGCCGGCCAAATAACCTGTCCGTTGCAGCTGCTCGAGGTAATCCACAGATGATTGCACTTCTCCACGGGAAAACAAACACACCGAGACCACGGAGTCGAGTCAATAAACCGCGACAACCGATCGCAAGTAAATCACCGTGATATTCGTTGTACGGACACGTGTATTGGTCGTCGATCGAGCGAATATATAACACGTTCAAATCGAACACACGTAAGTGGTATATCATCGAACGAACGATCTACTTTTTAACCTCGAACCACGCGCCACGACGTCCGAAACTATACTGCCACTCCCGCGCTGTCACTCATTGCGCGACGCCAGCAACATCAGCGCACTCTGTCGACGCTTCGAGGTACTAACGTTCGAAATTCTTATTAGGCTCCAATTTTGAAATTTTCTTTTCATTATATCTTTATTTTTCGTTACATAAAGCGTATAAATGAAATTTTTTTAATAGTTTCGAAAGATAATTCGTAGTTTTTGGTAGTTATTATTATCGATAATAATAGAAGTTGCAGCAGGTTTTAATGTGGGAAAATTTCGTTTCATTATATGAATACTTATGTAAGTAAATTATAGAGTTGGTAATAGAGTAATGAATAAGAATGAATTTATTGAATCTAATAAATATCAAATAAATGATTATCAAGTGATGATTATCAAATAAATGAGAGTTTCTACAGATTTTCGTTATTACGGAATTTTTTTATTAGTTTATTGATTCTAATAACATGTCTTCAAAAATTTTGATTCTAACCTCAAATTTTCATCATATTAACTTTTTACATTTACAAATTGATTTCAAAATTATTTTTATTTTGATTTAACATAACTCTTAATCACAATTCTTTTATATTTTTATCTAGTTTAAAACTACAATTCCATACTTAGATAATTCTTCTCAAAAATTCAAACCATACCTCCAAACCTTCATCAATCTTTACACGCCTAACATTTTTTACATTTTTACAGATTAAAATAAACCATCTTCCACGGTACAGACAGAAGATAGTTTTCCATTGTTTGCATGTCGCGCGAAAGACGTCCGTTTTCAAACGGTTGAAATATTAATTTCGAAGGGCAAGGCCACCATCCCACCCCCGATTCCGGTAAAATTTAATAACTCACGGATATAGGAGTGAAGTTTGAGTAGTGTTCGAGCAGTGGTGCTCGTTCGACGCACTGCTCGAAAAAGGAGAGGGAGGGAGAAAAAAAATATGGAAAAAAAAAAAGAAAGAAAGGGAAAAAAGGATGAAACGAAACAAAAAGGGAACGCAAGCGGAAGGGAGGATGAAAGGGTGAGATTCTGCTGTCACTGCAGAAAGGTGACGCACGCTCCATCCTTCTACGGAAACGAGCAAATTTTCCACTGCAAATAAAACTTCTAGCGAAAGGGTCCACCCGTCGATTAAAACTGCGGAGGGGAAAAATGAGATACATAAAAGGTTTCCACGATGCTGTTTGCTTTTCCCGTTTCAATCGTTCCTCGTGAATGTATGCGAAAAAAAAAATTAAAAAATTATATAGAGAAAAAATTATATTCGATCAACTATCTTCGACGATCTTTGATCTTACTATCAAAAGCGACAAAATCTAATTAAAAAAGTGATTAACTACGAATTTTATGTCTTTCACGATCAAAAGTTCAAGGACTAATATTACCATTTTCGATCTGATCAATGGAAACCTTCGAGATATAAATTGTAAAGATTATTATTTGATCTCGAAATTTTCACATTTATGAATACTTTGGAATAATTCTAATGTGATGTTTTTGGAAAGAATGATCGCATAATGTTCGAAGAAAATAAAATTCTTTTTTATTATTTCAAGAAAAATGGAAACGACTTTAATATTATAATTGATTAAAAAAATAAATGTTTATTGAGATTTAGTGCAAAGACACAAGAGCATCAAGTTTTCGAAGAAAGGGATAGATAAATCGTTGACACTATGTATTGTATAAGAGTATTAAAATATTTCTTAATTCCTTTTTAACTCCATGAAAGTTCTTCGCTTCGTAAAATTAAGCTCTGCTTTCATTTCTTTTTTGTCTTAAGAAAAAAAAGAGAAGCAAAGAAAAATAAAAAAAAGAAAATACTTTATTAGAAGGAAAATAACGAGGGGTAGACCAGAGTACGCCATTTCTACTTCCAACGGTTCAATTATTTTCAGACACAAGTCTTACGGCCGAGATACGAACGAAATGAAATTCTTCCGAGCCACATTTCATTAAAAGACATTAAGAATACCCTGTGCCGTGCAAATGAAATCGCAATTATGCATGCACCCGTAACTTACAAACACGGGCAAGTAGATTCGAGGGGCCGGTTTTCGTTTTAAATTACTAGTATACCGCCTAAACTATTCGGCATCCATCTGCTTCACATTGTCATAACTTATCAAACCAGACGTTTATGTAATTGATATTTATTCGAGAACGCGATAATTAAAATTTTATATAAATTATACTCTCTGTTAATTATATTTAATTTTATAATTATATAAAATTCCATTTTTCACTTTTAATGTAATACGAATATTAAGCAAATTGAAATCAAATTCTAATTTCAAATTGATATATATAAAATTTATAATTAATTATTTATGACATTTATTAAAATGTTATTACAGCAATACGTAAATGATATTTTTCATAGGAGAAAATGATTTTGTTAACAAATTTAATTAAAAATGAAATTCGAAACAATTGTCAAATAATTAAAAAAGTTGAGAATAAAACTTGTAATGAAATAAAAAGAGATGACATAAACTGGAAGGTATGTTTGAAAAATCAACGAAGAAGACATTTAAAACAATGAGTTGAGTTTAATAAAAGTCAAAGGTAATTCTTCAACAGGAATAAGGCAAAGATACAACCGCAAATTAAATCCTCTCGTCGAAGTAAAAATAGAAGATCCGAGCTTTGTAGAAATCTTAATCAGACATCTTATTCCAGCATTATTAAGGGATAAATTAACCACTCTTTAAATGAAGTAAGAAAGACTAAGATACGAAGATCGAAAAATAATCGAATTTATTTGTCCTAACAAAACAAAACAAAAAAAAAAAAAAAACGATAAAACTTTAAAATTGAATATTCAAAAAATTATACTTGGAAATGGTAGATGGGATATTTTAAGTAAGGAGGGTAACACACCCTCTGTTTCAAACGCAAATGCACTCGTTGAAACTAGTTGACCTCTGTCACGAATAGAGGATTCATTACTCCTCAACTAGTTCTGGTAATTCGTGTCAATCCACGTAATGCCCCTCATATCCCGTCCGCGCGTGTGTTCTCTTCTATTTCCAGCCTGTGTTATTTCAATTTCGTGCTCGTGCAATTTAATGTGAATTTAATGTTTTTTTTTAAAATTATAATATCGAATTTTTGTTCTAATTCAATCCCTCTGATATTTTTGATATCACGATATTATATTATATTTTGCATTACGTTGTAACGTAAGTAGAGGACTTGAATTTCATGGTTAGATCATGATTAATGTATGATTTGATATGATAATTCTTATACAATATATTGCTTACACCAGTTATTCAATAATGTTTATATTTTGTAAAGAGAAGTTTGAAATTTAATGAAAAAAAATAAAAGATTTTTCAGAATTTTTCTCTTCTCATCGAGGAAAGATTTCTCGATAAAAATTGTAATTAATTTATTCCATAAATCAAATATTTTTTTCACGTCTTTCTCGAACGATCACACGAACCCATTAAAAAAACGTTTCGATAAAAACATCTTTATTCGTTGATCCGCATAGGTGTGCAGATACGTGTTAGAATATGGCGCAGGGCAAATATTATCGCAATCACGCCTCTGATTACAGTTTGTTCGTGCCAGGGCAATCAAGTCACGACGCGTTACACGTTCTCTCGCGAAATTCGCGTTAGGCAATGTACATACGATTTTTTTCACTACTTTTTCCATTGTGTGAAAAAAAAAACCAGAACGAGCCTCGTCCATGATTCGAACGGTTCTCAATGAGTTGACGAAAGATAAGTCTCGTGGGAACGAGAATTCGATTAGGGGGAAATAAATTTGACGAGTCCATAAGAAGTTTAGGAGTTAGTTAAGTTTATATCATCGTGGAAATTAATATTGCTATTGAATTAATTAATAACTAATTATTAGAGAAGAGAAACATCGAAGAACGTTGATTTAAAGAGATGTTACAAGATTAATTATTATGCGATATGGGACGAAGTTACTTGGTATTTTATTTGGTTCGATTGTAAATCATACTTTTACAAGTCATTGGATGATTGCAACCTTCAACTTGAATTTTTTTCATTCCGGTTTATCGTACTTTCTCGCATTCTCACGCTGAGAGAACCGTTCGCTTAATTAGATCGTAAAATTCAAGCAACATCGAGACCGCGAGATAAGTGAAAATTACAATGGACAGAATGAGGACGTGGAACGTTGAACTACCGAATGAAAATTAATATTATCTTTTTTTATTTCCCTGGTCAAATGAAATTTACTTTCCTCTGCTTTTTTCTTTCTTTCTTTCTTTCTTTCTTTCTTTTTTTTTTTAAATGAAGGTTAATGCAATTTTAATTGCAAATAAATAAAAAATAAATTGCTAGTAGTTAATAAGACAGGAGAAAAATTTCCATCTCTTATTTTCATATTATTATTTAACAACCAAAAGAAAGTGTTACATTTATATTAAAAAGTATAAAATTTTAAAACTGCGTTTCTTGCGATTTTCATAAAACAGTATATTATACTCGTTTATCATTATTATTTACGAGAAATAAAATTCCACCAATCATCGTGTCTATAAAAACAAAATATTTATCTCACCATTACTTTCCCCCAATCAAAACAAAACACCTCGTTAAAATTCACACCTGTAATCAGATATACAAATGTAATCATCTTTCGAGCACACGAGGTAATAATTTAAACATTAAACACGGAATTAAGTGGAATAATATCTTTATACAATGTATTAACGTATGCGGTAATCGCTAAAAGGTTGTAGAAACAGGCAAGCAGATGAGCCTTTCCTGTAACTCCGACAGTCTATTCCTTAGAAAACGTACCCTGCTCCCGCAACACCGGTTCCCTCATTAATGAAGGCTTAATTAGCGTGCTTCGCCTTTTTATCCTGGAACGATAGTCGCTTCCGGTTCCGCTTCCTTGATCTTCCGCATCGAGTAAACGAGGGAAGTCGAATTGGTCGGCTATCGTTGGCTCAACAGCATTATCCTGCCGGCTATAATCACAGCAGGAACGATCGGAACAGGAATATCAGAAAATCTCGAATCAATTTCCAATAC